GCAAGACCTTGCCTTTGGATAGAAATAACTTCTGAAAGAAATGTTCACAAGAGCATATTTATAATGCATTTTATATTTCTCAATAGTAAAGGCTTAAAAATAAATGAAAATAAAATTATAATGGTACAGAAATACATACAGCATACCATCTTTTATGGAAGGAACATAATACTTTTCCTATTTGTTTTTGTCTATATAATGATACTTTGAATACACACTAAAAAAATTAGTTATCCAGATTGAGGACATGGGCTGATAGGAAAAGAAAGAGGGAGATTTTTCACTATATACTTATTTTCTTACTTTTAAATCATATGTATGTATTACCTATTCAAAATACCCATCTGACAAAGGTCTAATATCCAGATTCTACAGGGAACTTAAGCACATTTACAAGAAAAAAACAATCCCATCAAAAAGTGGGCGAAGGATATGAGCAGACATTTCTCAAAAGAAGACATTTATGTGGCCAACAATTATATGAAAAAAAGCTCAACATCACTGATCATTAGAGAAATGCAAATCAAAACCACAATGAGATACCACCTCATGCCAGTCAGAATGGCAATTATTAAAAAGTCAGGAAACAACAGATGCTGGCGAGGCTGTGGAGAAATAGGAATGCTTTTACACTGTTGGTGGGAATGTAAATTAGTTCAACCATTGTGGAAGACAGTGTGGCAATTCCTCAAGGATCTAGAACCAGAAATACCAGTTGACCCAGCAATCCCATTACTGGGTATATACCCAAAGGAATATAAATCATTCTACTAAAAGACACATGCACATGTATGTTTATTGCAGCACTATTTACAATAGCAAAGACATGGAACCAACCCAAATGCCCATCAATGATAGACTGGATAAAGAAAATGTGGTACAGATACAACATGGAATACTATGCAGCCATAAAAAGGAATCAGATCACATGCTTTGCAGGGACCTGGATGAAGCTGGAAACCATCATCCTCAGCAAACTAACACAGGAACAGAAATCCAAACACTGAATGTTCTCTTATAAGTGGGAGTTGAATAATGAGAACACACAGACACAGGGCAGGGAACAAGCCACACCAGGGCCTATCGAGGGGTCGGGGGGTAAGGGGAGAGAAAGCATTAGGACAAACAGCTAATGCAAGCAGGCTTAAAACCTAGATGATGGGGGCCGGGCGTGGTGGCTCACACCTGTAATCCCAGCACTTTGGGAGGCCAAGATTGGTGGATCACCTGAGGTCGGGAGTTTGAGACCAGCCTGACCAACATGGAGAAACCCCATCTCTACTAAAAATACAAAATTAGCCAGGCACGGTGGCTCACACCTGTAATCCCATCACTTTGGGAGGCCGAGGCAGGTGGATCACGAGGTCAAAGACCATCCTGGCTAACACGGTGAAACCCCATCTCCACTAAAAAACACAAAAAATTAGCCAGGCCTGGTGGCGGATGACTGTAGTCCCAGCTACTCGGGAGGCTGAAGCAGGAGATTCACTTGAACCTGGGAGGCGGAGGCTGTGGTGAACCGAGATCGCACCATCGCACTCCAGCCTGGGCAACAAGAGCGAAACTCCATCTCAAAAAACAAAGCAAAACAAAACAAAACAAAACAACAATAACAAAAAAACAAGCCTAGATGATGGGTTGATGGGTGCAGCAAACCACCATGGCACGCGTATACCTATGTAACAAACCTGCAAGTTCTGCACATGTATACTGGAACTTAAAGTAAAATTTTAAAAAAAGAAAATATTGCACCCATTAATATTAGAAAGATCGTTCAGAACTGAAGAAAAGAGTCCTTGAAATTAAAAATACAATGCTAATGAGAAACTCAGTAACCTGAAACTTTCCATGATACTACACTGAGCACTTCTTCTTGGGCTGATTTTAATCCACGTCCTCTTTTTGCAATGAACTATAAGCGTGAGTATAATGGCTTTCCTGAGTTGTGTCAGTCCTTCTCGTGAATTATTGAAACTGAGGGTGGTCTTGGAGATTCCTGAGCTTGCAGTTTCTGTCATAAGTGAGGGTAGTCTTAGAGACGCCTAAATAATTGTACTTGGGCTTGTATCTGGGTGTCAATAGGGCTGTATTCCTTCTGGAGGTTCTAAGGGAATATCCATTTCCTTGATTTTTCTAGCTTCTAGAGGTCACCTGTATTCTTTGGCCTTAAAATAACACAAAGTTGTCACTGTTCTGGAGGTCATATGTCCAAAGTAGGTCCTGCTGGGCTGCATTCGTTCTGGAGACTCTACAGGACAATCCATTTCTATGTCTTACCCAGCTTCTTGAGACTCAAGAGATCTAACATTTGAGAAACACAAGGAGAATTCCTAGTATCATGTGGAAGGGACAGCCCATGCCAGTAGCTGAGTATCAGACAGAGAGTAACTATGAGCAGGTCGACAGCTCCAAGAGGAGTTTCTTTAAAGAGCCGAAATGAATAGCAAGTAATCTAGAGCCAACGGCCTGGGTCTTATTTTCCTGGCTTCGTCATTCAGGAGCTGTGTGATCTTGGGCAAATTACTTCTCTGTGTAACAGTTTTCCTCCTCTGTAAAATGAGAATAATTATTATTGATAGCTGTCTTTGTTTACCGCTGCTATAAAGGACTACCTGAGCCTGGGTAATTTATAAAGAAAAGAGGTTTATTTGGCTCATGGTTCTGCAGGCTGTGCAAGAAGCATGGCATCAGCATCTGCATCTGGGGAGGGCCTTCAAGCTGCTTCCATTCATGGCAGAAGGGGAAGAGAAGCCAGTGTATGCAGAGATCATATGGCAAGAGAGGAAGAAAGAGAGAGAATGGGAGGTAGCAGGCTCTTCTCAACAACCAACTCTCATGGAACTCATAAGATTGAGAACTCACCACCTCCCCAGAGACAGCATTAATCTATTCGTGAGGGATCTGTCCCCATGACCAAAACACTTCCCATTATGTCCTACCTCCTACACTGGGATCAAACTTCTCTTTTATTATTTATTTATTTATTTGAGATGGAGTCTCGCTCTGTTGCCCAGGCTGGAGTGCAATGGCGCGCTCTCGGCTTACTGCAAGCTCCGCCTCCCTGGTTCACCCCATTCTCCTGCCTCAGCCTCCCGAGTAGCTGGGACTACAGCTGCCCACCACCATGCCCGGCTAATTTTTTTTTTTTTGTATTTTTAGTAGAGACGGGGTTTCACCATGTTAGCCAGGATGGTCTCGATCTCCTGACCTTGTGATCCGTCTGTCTCAGCCTCCCAAAGTGCTGGGATTACAGGCGTGAGCCACTGTGCCCAGCCCTCTTTTATTTTTAAAATTTCTTTTTATTTATTTATTTTTGTAAGAGACAGGGTCTCGCCATATTACCTAGGCTGATCTCAAACTCCTGGCCTCAAGTGATCCTCCTATCTTGGCTTCCTGAGTAGCTGGGATTACACACAAGCCACCATCTAGGGATCAAATTTCAGCATGAGATTTGGAGAGGATAAATATCCAAACCACAGTAATAACTCATAGGGTTTGTGACTGAATTAGTTAATAGAGAATGCTTATAGTGCCTAGCATATAGTAAGCACTGTATTAACGTTTATATTACTGTTATTATTTAACATATTGTAATATATTGAGAAGGTATTTATATACATGGGAAGACTAGAGATGAATTAGTGATATGTATAATATATATTGTATATGTATGTATGGAAAACAAAACAAATAATTAAGCCAGAGACTTATAATTTCGGGTAAAACAAAAAGCACTGCATAAAAAGTAAATGGCTCACTTGTGAATATTGTTAAAATCATCATCATAATAAAATGCAGCCTATTGATTTACCCCAAATTATAATGTACCCATATTAGGCTGGGCGCGGTGGCTCACACCTACAATTCCAGCACTTTGGGAGGCTAAGGTGGGCGGATCGCTTGAGCCCAGGAGTTCAAGACCAGCCTGGGCAACATGGTGAAACCCCATCTCTACTAAATAAATAAATAAATAAAATACCCATATTAGAAGGAGGGTACATGAGAAATGTGTACGTGAGTGTCAAGGGCCTGAGTGTCTGAAAGAAAGCTAATTCCTTATTTCCATTGTGTTATCTGTAGATAAATGCTTAAGAAATACCAATACAAACATGTTATTTAGACGTATGAAAGTAAACAGCAAAAGACAGTAAACTGAGTTCAAAGTGATTACCTTTGAGAAGCTGAAATTTGAGGGTGAAGAGAGCAGATGACAACTGTTTTATTCTAAGAAACCACAAAGAACAATTTGACTAAGTAACTATAGGTAAAATGTTCATGACATTGAAAATGAAATACTTATTTTTAAAAGTTCAAATGCAAAGGACAAAGAGGCAGTTATAACTGAACAAAACATATAAGACTATGCTTAATATATGAAGTCCCCTGTTCAAAATCAATAAACTGGATTCCACTCCTGGAAAGATACAGCAGATGCACTTGTCTCGACTCAGCCTGTTAAGTTCATCTGCAAACCATAGACATTATCCATCAAACTAACATACAGAGACTCTGAAAGGTAAAGAAAAACAGGCACCCTGGCTAAGGGCCTCAGGAACCAGGAAGCTAAACAGTAATGAGCTCTCTGTGTCTTTCGGCCTCATATAGATAGCCCTGACCAGGTGTTCGAAAAACCTACAATCCAGAAACACCAACAAGTGCATACAAAAAGACCTGGAAAAAAGTGCTCTCTCTAGCTAAAAGACCAGGAAAGGGGCAACAGAGAAAAAAAACTTTTAGACAAAACCTACTCTAAGCAAATACTACAGATAATAAAACAACAAAAAACTGTGGACTTGATTCATCTGTCATCAGCAAAGACTCAGTGGTTAGCCTAGGCTCCTGTATTTGCCTGGCTGTCCGGGGATGCCCCTCCACTACAATAGGGTAGTATGAGAAAAAGCCACCTGGGGAGCTGGGACTTGCATCTCTGCACAGTGGTAATGGGTAGCTTTCCTGCCATGCCAGTGGGAGCCACATCAGGGCTGGACTTCCATTCCTACCTGGCAGTAAAGCGACAGTCTTTCCATCACCACAGGTATGGTGTGAGAGGAGGCCAGATGAAAATCCAAGACCTCCATCCCTCTGAGAGGTACCGAGGCCCCATCCAACCTAACAATATCAGAGAAGACAGCATGAAGAGCAGAAACAAGGCACCCTCTCCTGTCAGACAAAGTGATGTCACCAGAGGTCTACTGGGGAGCCTGAACTGCCAACCCCAACTAGCAGTAATGAGGTGTCTCTCTCCCCACAGACTGTCAACAGAGTTCAAGTATGGAACCTGCAAATTCACATCCACCTGGCGGTAGTACAGCAAGGTCCCCCGATTCCCACACTGGCCCAGAGGACGCCTGCTAAAAAAGAGGACTCAAATAAGATCTAGAGTCTAAGGTTTCCACCATACATTACAAAATCGTTTGAATAACCAAGAACCAGAAAACCTCAACTTGAATAAGGAAATGACCAATCAACAGATACTAAAACTGAAGTGATGCATGTATCAGAATTATTTCATAAGGATTTTAAAGCAGTCCTCATAAAAATGTTTTAATAAGCATATGAACACACTTGAAACAATAAAAAAATTTCAACAAAGAAATAGAGAAGAGATGAAGAAATCAAATGAAAATTTTAGAACTAAAAAATAACCAATATTAAAAACTCAATAGATGGGCTCAAAAGAATGGAGACAACAGAAGAAATAATCTGAGTATCTGAAAATAAAATAGAAATGATCTAATCTAAAGAATGGAGAGAAAACAGACTGAGAAAAAATGAACAGACCCTCAGAGACATGTGGGACAGTAACAAAAAATCTAACATTTGTGTCATTGGAGTTCCAGAAAAAGAAAAAGAAGAGAAAGGAATGGGGGCTGAATGGGGGCTAAACAAGTATTTGAAGAAATAATGAATGAAAATTTCTGAAACTTCCCAAAAGATATACACTTACAGATAGAAGCTGAGCAAATCCCAAAAAGAAAAAAAAAAAAACAAAGAAATTCACACTAAGAAAGAATTCTAGTCAAACTTCTGAAAACTACAGACAAAGAAAGAATGCTGAAAGCATTCAGAGAGAAACTACACATTACCCACAGGAGAAAACAATTTGAAAGACAGTGTGTGATACTAAGAACGATGGCTCCCCAAGGATGTTCACATCCTAATTCCCAGCAATTGTGAATATGTGGGGTTACATGGCAAAAGGGAAGTCAGGTTTCAGATGAAATCTAGATGGCTAAATTGGCTGCCCTTAAAATAGGGAGATTAATTATTTTGGATTATCTGGGTGCACTGAATATAATCACAAATTTGCTTAAAAGTTAAATCAGGAGGGCCAGGCAAGGTGGCTCACACCTGTAATTCCAACACTTTGGGAGCCTGTAATTCCAACACTTTGGGAGGCCGAGGCGGGCGGATCGCCTGAGTTCGGGAGTTTGAGACCAGCCTGACCAACATAGAGAAATTTCGTCTCTACTAAAACATACAAAATTAGCAGGGCGTGGTGGCATATGCCTGTAATTCCAGCTACTTGGAAGGCTGAGGCAGGAGAATCACTCGAACCCAGAAGGCAGAGGTTGTGGTGAGCCAAGAGCGCACCACTGCACTCCAGCCTGGGCAACAAGAGCAAATTTCCGCCTTAAAAAAAAAAAAAAAGTTAAAGCAGAGGCAATAAAAGAGAGTCAGAGAAAGATGTGACTACAAAAGAGTGGTCAGAGAGATACAACGTTGATGGCTTTGAAGTTGGAGGAAAGGGCCAGAAACTGAAATGTGTGCACCCACTAGAAGCTAGAAAAGCCATGGAAAATAGAAACAGATTCTTTCTTACAGCCTGTAGAAAGGAATGCTGCCCTTCTGACACCTTGATTTTAGTTCAGTAAGACCCATGTCAGCCTTCTAAAATATAGAACTGTATGTTAAAAAAAAAAAAAGTGTTATTTTAAGCAACTACATTTTTGATAATTTATTTCAGCAGCAATAGAAAATGAACATGCAGTTTTAACTAATATCTCATCAGAAACTCTGGAGGTCAGAAGGAAGTAGCACATTTTTCAAGTGCTTAAAAAAAAAAACTATCAACTTAGAATTTTGAATCAGGCAAAAAAATCCTTCAGGAGAATGTGGAAATGAAGACATTCTCAGTCCTCCAAAAATTTATATGTTTAGGCTCTAACTCCTAATGGAACTGTATTTGGAGATAAGGCTTTTAAGAGGTAATTACGGTTAAACGAGGTAGGGGTCCTAATCTGATAAGACAGGTGGCCTTATAGAGATTCTCTCTCCATAGTCAGGCAGGCAGGCGGTCACTAGGGAATGGCCTGTGAGCACATAGTGAGAATCTGGTTTTCGTTTACAAGCCAGGAAAAGAGCCCTCAGCAGAACCTGACCATGCTCGCACCAAGATCTTCGAGTTCCAGCCTCCCTGTGAGAAAGTAAATTTTTGTTGTTTAGTCCACCCAGTCTATGGTACTTTGTTATGGCAGCCTGAGCTGACTAAGACAACTACCAACAACTCTGCACACATAAATTTGACAACTTAGATGAAAGGGTACAGTTCCTGAAAACACACAAACTACCACAACCCTCTCAATATTAAGTAGACAATATGAATAGCCCGTAACTCTTAAAGAAACTGAGTTTGTAATCTTAAAACTTCCAAAAAAGAAATCTCTAGACCCAGACAGTTTCTCTGGAGAATTCTACCAAATATTTGAAGAATTAACATAATTAACATCAATTCTACACAGTTTTTTCCAGAAAAAACTGAGAAGAGAAGGGAATACTTCCCAGTTTATTGTGTGAGGCTATGATTTCCCTGACACAAAAACTGGACAAAGTATAGAAAAATAAAACACAAACTATACACCATCTCTGGCAGAATAATCAATATAAAGGAACACATTCCAACTGATTTTATGAGGCCAGGGTTATCCTGATACCTAAACCAGAAATAGTACCAAGAGAAAAAAAAGAAAGAGAGAGAGACAGAAAGAAAAAAAAAAGTGATACCCTTCATAAATATGATACAAAAACCCTTAACAAAATATTAGCAAATACAAATAATTTAAAAAGTATATACCACAACCAAGTGGAGTTCATTCCATGGATGCAAGGCAGGTTCAATATTAAAAAATCAATCAGTGTAATCTACCATACCAACAGATTCAACAAGTAAAATCACATTATCACGTCAATTGGTACAGAAACAGCATAAAACAAAATTCAACTTCCATTCATGATAAAACCTCAAGTTTGTTTCAGAAGATGGTCCTGGGACAAGGAGCATAGATGTTCTGTGGAAATTTGTGAGAAATAAAAATTCATATCCCATCCCATAGCTACTAAATCAGAATCTGAATTCAAATGCAAATGCAAGTAAAGTGTCAGAAGCACTGTTCTATAAGACAGCAACAGAACAACTGTGGCTACTTTTTGTATTTTTAGTGGAGACGGGGTTTCACCATGTTGGCCACGTTTGTCTGGAACTCCTGACCTCAGGTGATCCACCCACCTCGACCTCCCAAAGTGCTGGAATTACAGGTGTGAGCCGCCACGCCTGGCCTGTTAGTGCACTTTCGGTAGGGTTGCTGTTGAAGACTGTTCTGTCATTAACTATCTGAAGATCTATCAAAAAATTTCTCAAACACCAAGAACCATGAAATCTTTACCACAGATGAAATAAATTACTTGTGAATTTTATTAATATAAACCATGTATCCAATTTCCATTATTGCTATGTCTTTCAGGAAGATCAGAGACAATTTAACAGTTCAAAGTTCATAACTGTGTAAGACCATATATTCTAAACTTGACTCGGGGTTGACAGTCTCATCTTCATTTTCTCTGATCTTAGTTTTTATTTATCTAGTCTTGTCATCTTACTATAGGGATTGTTAGATGTCTCCTAAAATCCACTAAAAGTAAAAGAAAGCAACAAATAAACAGATGAACAAATAAGAACTCACCAGGGACTTGGTCATTTTTGGCTCTTCGGACAAAGGGGCAGAGATCTGAGAAAACAGATGGGTAGAGGCAGAGATGAGAGAAGGAAGTGTGCCAGTGTCACACATGGACACATACATCATTTACTGCCCATGTGCCTTACTCAAAAATTTATTTCTGGAGCTACAACATTAAAATATCATCCCATCCCATATTGTACAAAGATTTAAGTGCAAAAGTTTTACCATAACATGGTTAATAAAAAAGAAAGATTAGAAACATTTAGATATCCAATAATTGTGGAGTGCTTAAATACTTTATAAAATATCCAAAGGACATACTGTTCTATTACATCATTATACTATCTGATTTCACAGGCCCTTCAAGTTATCATCAACCCTGGTACCTAACTCCTCACTACCACTCTTCAATCTGCTCTAAGTGCCAATTGGTGCCCGGAGACTACTCCCAGAAGCCATTACTGAAACCTCAGATTCACTGATTCCCATGCCTTGCTGCCCATGAGCCCTGCATCACTCATCCTACAATTCCTGATCACAGAGTCTTCAATTCCTCTACCTTAATTGTTCTGGCTCTTTACCAATCAATCCCACGTCCCCATGACTGACCTCTATGCCTGTATGACTACTCACCGCACATCTCCATCAGTCATCCAAAGAGTGCCAATTCCAGGCACACCTGTACCTGCACTGGGGCCTTAGCACACGAATACATCTCCCTCTGCTGATACAACTAGGCTATAAACTCCTCCACATACACAAATAGGAACTCATGAACAAATCTGGCGCAATTCTTGAATGTATAGAATAAATTTATAAATAGAAAACACTTCTAAATCTAATTGTGAAAAGACTATTTACAGAGAAAGAATTAAGGAAATAAGAAAACTCTTTATCTGCAGTAGTGAAAGCTAAATGATGTCGGAAATAGCATCTAAAAGACCTCTCCTCTGTCAGAGCCAGAGAGACATTTTCAGAAATAAAATCACTTGCAGAGTATCTTTATCTTTGAGAGAAATACTGAAAGAAGTAGTCCAAATAAATGTAAATTGAATCACACATCAAGAAATGTTGAATAGGAAAATATTGTTCAGCAATAATTATTGCAACAGATATATAATTATAAAAAAGGACAATGTGACAATGTGATAAAGAGGCCACTAAAGAGAAAATTAATAATACCCTATGATAAAACATTCCTAATAATCTCAGGAAAAAAATGGAAAAAATGGGGTGCAGAATGGAAACAATGAGCAGAAATTCAATCAATCCAATGAAAATATTATATAAAGAAAAGGCAGAAAATAAAAAGAGTTAAATAGTAAACATCAAATGGAAGGCATAAAATCAGATAAATCATTATTACACTAAACTGAGAGGTAAAATTCTATCAACAGAGACTACAAGTTGGATTTGAAAAAAACAAAAGATATCTATTGTAAACAAATAGGTAATCTGACACAGAGACAAATATGGATATAAAATAAAGCTCGGGCAAAGACACATCATCCAAATGCAATAAAAGTAAAAACAGGTGTGGCAATGTAAGTATCAAAGTGGAATTCGATGTTAAAAAGTGTTTTTCTTTTTTCTTTTTGGTTGAAAAAGGGGATCCTATAATACCATTTAATACATGAAAAAGGATAAAAAATGCATTAACCATTAGGTGTACGTATGCCCGTCCCTCAGACACACAAATAAAATTAGCAGAAAAGCACATACAACTGCAAAGTGAACTATTAAAGTAAGAGATTTTTATTGTATCTCTTCCAGAATATTAAACAAGTAGATCAAAATTAGGAAAGATAAAGATTTGAAAAATACCAACAGGCAAGACTTAATTAAACAGAATTTTGGCCCATACAACAAAATATAATTTTTCTCTTATATCTGTTGAACAAAATTCATTGAGTAACTTGGCTTCAAGGAAAATCTTGATAAACTGTTAAAAGTTGAGACTTGATACTCTGCATTTTCTGACAATAGAATAAAATAAAAAACAGCTAAAACATACTTTAATAATTTGGGAATGAAGAAACTCCTCTAAATAACTAAGGATCAAAGGGAAACATCAAGATGAATTTATACATTTCATAGATAAAGATGTAGTTAAAGAAACTTTACTACCCTAAATGTATCCAGCATAAAACTTAAGAAAATAAGGGAAAGAACAACAAATTACATCAAAAAGTGGGAAAAAGAGAAAGTACGTAAAAAGAAAAAGAGAAAAAATTTAATATTAAAAGAGTAGGGAGTAGTTTATTGGACATTTCAAAATGTCCAGTAAAACAGATAGACCTTTCAGACACTTGATTCTTTTTAAAAAGGGAGAGAAAGAATGAATGATATATAAATACAATAACCGTAATGGTAAAGGAGCTACTAGTCTTGGATATGAAACAGAACAAAATGGAAATGGAAATATGCAATTCTATGTAACATATGCTTTAAATCTTTAGCAAAATACATCATGATAATGAAACAGAAACGAAAATGTAAACAGACCGGTACGTATAAAAGAGAGGAAACTAAGATGTGCATCATTCACTCCTCAGATCCCTCCTTAGTCCCCACAGTCATCCTCCCCCACAATCCCACAGTCCGCCCTCACTCCGCCCTCAGATCCACCACCAGAGACCCCCAGTCCGTCCTCACTCCGCCTGCAGATCCACCACCAGAGACCCCCCAGTGCCCTCTCACTCCTCCCTCAGATCCACCATCAGAGATCGCTCCGACTTCCACTATTCCATCCATTGACCGTCCGTCCCCATCACTGACCGGAGGGCTCACGACAGACATCAGAGATTCTTCTTGCTCAGTCCACAGATGCTGCCATCCCTCTATTCACCTGCCCCTCACCCACGTTCTCTCAGGACAGTGGTCATTTGCTTCGGGTGGTGACTATAGTCGCAAGAACCAGAACAGGACCCACTTCCTTTTTCTCAATGCCTCCCTACTTCTTACAGCGCTGCCTGGGTGTGCGCATGCTCAGCAGTCTTCGTGGCCGAAGGTTGCCAGTAGTCAACATGGCGCTTTGCCAAACACGCTCCCGTTTCAGTGGCTTAGGCGGGGCGCCAGTATGGCGGCGCCCATGTAGACACTCTGGCCTGTGTGCGGCCATGTTGAGGTGATGTAGCGATTGAGGGGCTGAGGGTTGTCCAGAGGGAAGGCAGCAAGCAGAGGTGTGTCCCATCATACTAAGCCAGGACACAATCAAAGCCTGTCACCTCAGGTTACAATCTTTCTCCAGTGCTTCTGTGGACACAACAACACTGTTAACCAACAGGAACTAATCAGCATTTACGTAATACCGCAAACGCAGCGCAATACACATTTTTTTTTCATGTCCATGGGACACTTAGCAAGATATGAGGTAACCTGGGTCATAAAACAAATCTCAGCAAATTTAAAACAACTGAAATCATACAGAGTTTGTTCTCTGAACACAATAGAATTAAACTAGAAATCAGTAACACGAAGATAAAAGGAAAATCTCCAAACACGTGAAAACACATGCTAAATAATCCATTGTTCAAAGAGAAAGTCTCAGATTTTTAAAATACATTGAAATGAATGAAAGTGAAACACAACATATCAGAATTTGTGGGATGTGGCCAAATCAGTGGTGAGAGAGAAATTTATACCACTAAGGGCTTACATTAGAAAAGAAAAAAATTTTGAAGTAATAACGAAGTAATAACCAAGCTCCCCACTTCTAGAAAAAGAAGAGCAAAATAAACCAAAAGCAAGTGAAAAAAAGTAAATAATAAGGATAAGAAGATAACTCAATAAAATGTAAAAAGAAAAATAGAGAAAAACCAATTAAACAAAAGCTGGTTCTATAAATGTCAATAAAATTGACAAGCCTACAGAGGAGACACAAAATATCAGTATCAAGAATGAAACAGGAGATACCACTGTAGACGATGACAAAATCAAAAGAATAAAGAGAATACTACAAACAACTCTACAAATATAAATTTCACAATATAGATGAAATGCATTAATTCTTGAAAAAGCACAAATTCTCTCTTACAAAATGAAATAGTTATGTTGAATAGCCCTAGAATTGAAGTCATAATTTGAAACATCTGAAAAAGAAATCGTCAGGCCTGGATAGATAGATCAGAGAATTCTAACAAACATTTAAAGGTTAACACGAATTATATCCAGTCTCTTCCAGAATAAAGGATAGAAAGAAGCCAATAGAAAGATATTCCAACTAATGAGGCCAGTGTTACTCTGGTATCAGAGCTAAAGACAGAAGAAGAATGGAAATCAGCATTCTTCATGAATCTAGATGGAAAAAGTTCTCAACCAAATAATAGCAAAAATAATTCAACAATATATAAAAATAATTACAAACCACGAACAAGTGATGTTTATTCCAGGAATAAAAAGCTGTCTTGGTATTCAAAAATCAATTTGTGTAACCCACCACATTAGCAAGCTAAAGATAAGCATATTACGTGATTATATCAATGTAGGAAAAGCATTTGAAAAACATTCAACACCCATTTATAATGAAAAAAAAACTTTCAGGAATTAGGAACAGAGGTAAACTTTCTAACTTTTAAGTTAGAAAAAAATCTACAGCTAACATAAAACTAAAAGATGAAAGAGACTGAATGCTTTCCCATTCAGTTTGGGAAGAAGGAAAATAGGTCTGTGCTCATCATTTTTATTCTACGTAGCTCTGGAAGACCCAGCCAGCTCACAAAAATTCTCTCCATAACCAGACTCTAGCCAGGCTCCTTTGAACTCTCTTGTCAACTAAACCCTGGCTTTTGGGCTTTTGTGTTGTCTATGCATTGCCCAATATTAGTAAGAATCCTAGCAATTTAGTCAGAATCCTCCATCTTCATATCTAATAACAAATTAGATATCATAATCACCATTGATATCTAATTTGTTTTCTTATTGTCTACCATCCCCAGGTGATATCTGATCACTCTGGCATGGTTTCAGCAAGAATCCTGTGAGGTCAGTTTAGCCAGATTCCCTCCTATTAGTAATTTTCCATACACTACCAACCCTCCACCCTACTCTGTGGCTGTAAAATCTCTACTTTCCCCTATATTCAGAGGGAAACCTGAATATATGGAAACTGGAGATTACTGCAAAACCCTATTGCAATAATCCCTCTTAATAAAGTCTGTCTATTTTTTAACAGGTGTCACAAATAGTTTTTTCTATAATACAGCTCAACAAAACAAGTCCAAAATAGAAGAATAAAATGGGAGGAATTATTCTACCCAATTTTTTAACTTTTTACGTAGTTACAGAAATCAAAACAGTGTGGTATTAGCAGGGGGATAGACAGTTCAATAAAACAGAATTGAGAACTCAGAAATAGATCCATACAACTACAACCAACTGACTTTTGAAAAAGGTGCTATATCAATTCAGTAGTAGAGTGGTTCTGGAGCAGTTAGATATCATAGACAAAACAACGAACCTCAATCTAACCTCATGTCTTTATTTAAAAAAAGGATCTGCCGGGCACAGTGGCTCACGCCTGTAATCCCAGCACTTTGGGAGGCCGAGGAGGGTGGATCACGAGGTCAGGAGATCGAGACCATCCTGGCCAACAGAAACCCTGTCTCTACTAAAAACAAAAAAAAATTAGCCGGGCGTGGTGGCGGGAGCCTGTGTTCCCAGCTACTCGGGAGAATGGCGTGAACCCTGGAGTCAAAGATGTATTGGAGACAATCCTACTGAAAAAGAAAAAAAAAAAAAAAAAAAAAAAAAAAAAGGATCATAGATCTCAATATAAAAATATGAAATTTAATGAGAAATTCTTCAGGATGTAGGATTTGATGAATAATTATTAGACATGACACCAAAAAAAAACCACACACACACAAAGAATTTATTATTTGGATGTTATCAAAATTTAAAACTTTTGGCCTGCATAAGAGCCTGTTAATAAAAAGACAAGGTAAAAACTAGGAGAAAACTGCAAATCACACTTGATAAACCATATCTGACAAGGAGCTCATATCTAGAATATTCTTGAAGTTTTCAAAAGTCAACAACAACAACAAGAAAAAACAATCCAATTAGAAAATGGGCTAAAGGCATGAACAGATATTTCACTGAACAGGATATATTGATGGAAAATGAGAAAATAAAATAACTTTTATCAGAGGAATGCCAGTCCTTTTAAATTATCAAGCCCAGAGAGACATTAAAGTGAGACAGCAGGCCGGGCGCGGTGGCTCACGCCTGTAATCCCAGCACTTTGGGAGGCAGAGGCGGGCGGATCACGAGGTCAGGAGATCAAGACCACGGTGAAACCCCGTCTCTACCAAAATACAAAAAATTAACCGGGCGCGGTGGCAGGCGCCTGTAGTCCCAGCTACTCCGGAGGCTGAGGCAGGAGAATGGCGTGAACCCTGGAGGCGGAGCTTGCAGTGAGCTGAGATCGCTTCACTGCACTCCAGCTTGGGCTTCAGAGGGAGACTCCATCTCTAAATAAATAAATAAATAAATGAATAAATAAATGAGACAGCAGTCATTTTGAGCTATGCATTCATCTCTCGAAACTGCTTGCTATTGCCACAAGTAGCTATAAATTAACCTAATAAGGCCATACTGGATATGGTAACCCACATCCTAGAGCTTAACAATGTATAGCCAATCACTAATTAATGTTATTTCTATAATCAGTGAGAATTCTTGACAAATCGCTTTGTATCAGCCCACTCCTTGTCTCCTTTTTTTGCTTTTAGTAAAGGCCATATAGAGTTCATATTCAGGGTTTCTTGGATCTGAGTCTTTTGGGCAGCTGTCCTCACTTTCCTTTGTTGTTATTGTTGTTGTCGTTGTTTTTGGAGAGACGGGATCTTGCTCTGTGGCTCAGGCTGGAAGACTAGAGTGCAGTGGTGCAATCAAAGCTCACTGTAACCTTAAACTCCTGAGCTCAAATGATCCTCTCACCTCGGTTTACCAATTAGCTAGGACTACAGCATGCACTACCATGCCTGGCTAATTATTTTTGTTTTTTTGTAGCGATGGAGGTCTCTCTATGTTGCCCAAGCTGGTCTTGAATTCCTGGCCTCAAGCAATCCTCCTGCCTTGGCCTCCCAAAGTGCTGGGATTACAGGTGTGAGCCACAGTGCTCAGCCCAGCCTCTTACTTTTAGTCAACAGAAATAAGCACATTAAAAGATCTGGTTCCACTCCCATATGTAAAGAGCCTGGATTCTCCCACGCTTACGTGAGTTTTACCTCCAGGAGCCCCACCAGGTGCTCATTGTGAACAGAAAATAAATTCCTTCGTGCACCTGGCAGGGAGAGAGGGAAAGTAACTATTTGAAATACAACTAGAACACAGGGCTCTGTTTAAGAAAGACCTGTCCTCAAAAGGTAATACTTTACCAGAGCCTTAACAGACTTAGGGGAAGGGCAATTACACAACTCAGCCCATACTAGACTTCCTGTCTCACATAAAGGGTTAAAAAAAGGGCTAAGAAATTCTTCTGAAGGTCAGAGCCCAGGGACTCAGGCCCACTAGAAAATGGATATGTAATCATAAAATTACACACTGCTTTCCCTCTACAATGCCTTACCACCACATCAGCAGGGTTCCAGTATAATAACTGTAAATTATAACCGAGAGAGCAGCGATTGTTCATTTAAGAGGCACCTTAAAACAACAATATCAAAATATTCCTACCATTCAGTAGTCTGTTTAATGGGTATGAGGAGATCTCAAGCACAATTTGGACTCAACTATTACATCCTTAAAATATTATTTAGCTAAGGCTAATGTAAAATATGAGAAACTATCTCCCTAAACAACACCTGTAGACAATATTCAGAATTAGCTCCCAGTGTTGACAGTTTTAGTGCCCCTTGGACATTTTTCTTGACGGCCTAAAGCAAGAAGTTTTTAACATGGTATGTAAACAAAAAATTGACCCATTATCCATTGTATGAACTTCAACATTTTGCCAAACATTTTAAAGAGACTCGACATAACAAAAACAAACAAACAAAAAACCCTCACAAGAAAATGTTTATCCTCTTTGTCTAAAAGAGAGATCATTTTGGTTAACATGCGAGGCACCCTCCACTTCATCTCCCTATTTGGGGCATTAATAATTCTGGCTTTCTTACTGAAGTAAAATATACGTAACAAAACTTACTATTTTGGCCATTTTAAAGTGTACAGTTCAATGCTGTTAAGTCTAATACATTAACATTGTTATGAAACCATCTCCACCATCTGCGTCCCATACATTTTTTTCTTCAGCTTCCCAGTGGAATTTTTTCATGTTCCCAACTGAATCTATATCTATTAAGCAATAATTCCCCATTCCTTGTATGCCGAAACCTGGCAACCAACATTATGCTTTGTCTCTACAATTTGACTACTCTAGGTACCTCATATAAGTAGAATTACATGGTATTTCTCTTTCTGTATCTGGCTTATTTCATTCGGCACAACTTCTTCAAGATTTGTTGATATTGTAGCATGTATCAGAACTTTATTCCTCTCTAAGGCTGAGTAATGTTCCCTAGTATTTATATACCCCCTTTTGTTAATCCATTCGCTGTTGATGGACGTTTGGGTTATTTCTACCTTCTGGTTATTGTGAATTGCTGCTATAAACATTGATGCGCTAGTAATAGTTTGAGTCCCTGCTTTCAATTCTTTGGGAGTATATACCTATCTAGAAGTAGAATTGCTGGATTACATGGTAATTTGATTTTTAAATTTTTGAGGAACTGCCAAATAGTTTTTCACACTAGTTTCACTATTTTACATTCCCACCAGCAATGCACAAGTGTTCCAATTTCTCCACATCCTCATTAACACTTGTTGCTTTTTCTTGATAATATACATTCTAATGGATGTGAAATGGTATCTTATTGTGGTTTTGAATTAAATTTCCCTAATGATTAGTGATGTGAAGCATCTTGTGCATTTATGTATGTTCTTTGAAGAAATATCTATTCAAATCTGTTGCCCATTTTTGAATCATCTTGTTTGTATCTTTTGTTGTCAAGTTTTGGCAGTTCTTTATATAATCTCGATATTAATCTTGTATCAGTATGTATGATCTGCAAATATTTTCTTGCAATCCATGAGTTGCCTTTTCAATCTATTGATAGTGTCCTTTGATGCACAAAATGTTTTTATTTTGATGAAATCTATTATTCTTTTATTGCCTATGCTTTTGGTGTCTTTGATCCAAGAAATCATTGCCAAACCCAAATCACAAAACTTTTCCTTTATTCTTTCTTCTAAGACCTTTATAGTTTTAAGTCTTATGTTTAGGCCTTTGATTCAGTTTGAGTTAGTTTATGTATATAGTATAAATAAGGGTCCAATATCACTCTTTACATGTGGACACACCGTACCCACCTTTCCCAACACCATTTGTTCAAAAGATTGACCTTTCACATGGTCTTGGCACCCTGGTTGAAAATCATTTGAACGCATGTACAAGGGTTTATTTGTGGGCTCTTTGTTCTGTTCTTTTGATTTATATGTCTGATATCTGTCTTCCTTTTTTTTTTTTTTTTGAGACAGAGTCTCACTCTGTCACCCAAGCTGGAATGCAGTGGCACGATCTTGGCTCACTGCAACCTCCACTTCCTGGGTTCAAGTGATTCTTCTGCCTCAGCCTCCCAAGTAGCTGAGACTAGAGGCACGTGTCACCATGCCCAGCTAACTTTTATATTTTTAGTAGAGACGGGGTTTCACCATGCTGACCAGGCTGGTCTCAAACTCCCAACCTCAAGTGATCTGCCTGCCTTGGCCTCCCAAAGTGCTGGGATTACATATATATATCTGTCTTTATGCCACACTGAGTACCATGCTGTTTTGATTGCTATAACCTTAAAGTAAGTTTTGAAATCGGGAAGCATGAGTCCAACTTTATTCTTCTTATTCCAGATTGTTCAGGCTACTTGGACTTAACTTTAAGACTCCTTATAAATGTTAGGATACATTTTTCGATTTCTGCAAAAAGCATCATTAGAATTTAAATAGGGATTGCATTGAACCTGCAAATTGCTTTGGAAAGTATTGCCACTTAACAATATTAAATGTTGTAATCCGGCGGGCCGCAGTGGCTCACGCCTGTAATCCCAGCACTTTGGGAGGCCAAGGCGGGTAGATCATGAGATCAAGAGATCGAGACCATCCTGGCTACATGGTGAAACCCTGTCTCTATTAAAAATACAAAAATCAGTTGGGCATGGTGGCACATACCTGTAGTCCCAGCTACTCAGGAGGCTGAGGGAAGAGAATCGCTTGAACCCCGGAGGCAGAGGTTGCAGTGAGCCGAGATCATGGCACTGCAATCCAGCCTGGGTGACAAAGCAAGACTCCATCTCAAAAAAAAAAAAAAAAAAAAGGGAAAACTGCATGTCCTGTACATGTACCCCAAAACTTAAAATAAATAAGTACATAAATAAAATTTAAAAAAATTTTTTTAAATCTTAATTGTATGTGGGTAGGTCCCTTTGATTTAAAGTGAGATAGAAGGCCGGGTGCGGTGGCTCATGCCTGTAATCCCAGCATTTTGGGAGGCTGAGGCAGGCGGATCACGAGGTCAGGAGATCGAGACCATCCGGGTTAACACGGTAAAACTCCGTCTCTACTAAAAATACAAAAAGAAATTAGCCAGACGTGGTGGCGGGCACCTGTAGTCCCAGCTACTCGGGAGACTGAGGCAGGAGAATGGCTTGAACCCAGGAGGTGGAGCTTGCAGTGAGCCGAGATGATGCCACTGCAATCCAGCCTGGGTGATAGAGCGAGACTCCGTCTAAAAAAAAAAAAAAAAAAAAGTGAGATAGAAACAATTTTTTAAAACTTTTCAAAATTTGCAAAACTACATAAGTGTAAAAGAAATTTACATTTTGTCCCTGGATTGATATAAGACAAAAACATTGTGTGGGAAAGCTGGGGTTGAGGACGAACGAGATTCTGAGAATAAAATTCCCTGGTACATAGCCAAAATTTCAGAGTCAACTTCAGATTTTCAAGGGCCATAAAATAGGTAACCTGAAGCCACCGTCTCCAACAGATAAAAGGAACCAGATAATATCTGTGTTCCAGGGAGAAAGCATAGAAAATTGGCCGAGTTCTATCACTGACAAAACTTAGTAGGAAGGAAGGATCTGGAAGGTGGGAGGGTGGAGGGATCCCAAGCTTGGAGGGTGGGGAAGGGCTGTGCTTCAGCCTCCCCGTCCCACTGCCCCTCCCCCTCCCGCTGCCCCTCCCCCTCCCGCTGCCCCTCCCCCTCCCGCTGCCCCTCCCCCTCCCGCTGCCCCTCCCCCTCCCGCTGCCCCTCCCCCTCCCGCTGCCCCTCCCCAACAAAGGAGCCTTTGTGATGTGAAGGCCCCAGCTCTGTGACGCAGGCCTGGGCCCCAGTCCCTAGTCTCCACGGGGATGCCCAGAGCTCAGTTGCTTGAAAGCAACGCGCCTATTCACATGGAGAATCTCCCCTTTCCTCTGAAATTACTTAGTGCCTCGTCGCTAAACGCCCCCAGCTCCACACCATGGGTGTTGGATATCTTCCTCACCTTGGTGTTTGCCCTGGGGTTCTTCTTCCTATTATTCCCCTACTTCTCTTACCTCCGTTATGACGACCCACCCTCACCATCGCCTGGGAAGAGAAAGGTGAGGAGCCCTCAGTCCGGACCCACAGAGCTTGATTCTTTCCTTTCTTTTTCTTATTAGTTCCACTTTTCCAAATCCAGTGGAGAGACTTCTGCGATGGGAAGTCTCAGGAGAGACGAGAACATCATCCTTCCAGGGAGAGGCAGGGCAGTCAGGGTTGGTAGGGGTGGATCGTGTACTGGGATTTCCATCCCAAGCTCTCAGTCCGCCTGTGGGGGAGCGCAGGAGGCGTCAAGGCAAAATCAAACCCGTGGACTCACCGCCAGGAACGGTCATGAGACGGGGGAGGTCTCTGTCCGAGGCCAGACCCTGAGCCCTGGCTCATCAGCCCCTTCCTGGGGCAGGTGGCTCGGGGCCCAGTCTCCTCTGCATGGGGTGATCTGGGGGCTGTGCTGAGCCCCCGAGGGCCTCCCACCGGGGCCTGGCGTCTCCTCTGGTCTCCTGGGAAGCAGAATCCTACCTGACAGCTCAGCGGTGCCTGCGGGCCTGAGCCTGGGTGTTCCTCGAGCAGAGGAACCGGGACTGACAGCGCCCGTGGTGGACCTCATACTGAAAATCCGTGTGTGTGTGTGTGTGTGTTATTTTTATTTTATTTTATTTTTGAGACAGAGTCTTGCTCTGTCGTGCAGGCTGCAGTGAAATGGAGCGATATCAGCTCACTGCAACCTCTGCTTCCCGAGTTCAAGCTATTCTCCTGTCTTAGCCTCCTGAGTAGCTGGGATTACAAGCGCCCGCCACCACGCCTGGCTAATTTTTGTGTTTTTAGTAGAGACGGGGTTTCACCATGGCCAGGCTGGTCTCAAACTCCTGACCTCAGGTGATCCACCTGCCCTGGCCTCCCAAAGTGCTCGGATTACAGGCGTGAGCCACCGCGCCCGGCCCCCTCTTCCTGTTTTTCTAAGAAGAAAAGCAGTTTGTCATCCATTTAAACATGAGTGGGAGGAAGCACACAGAGCTCCCTGAGCGACACAGAGAGCCGCGCGGTTCCTGAGTGCAGCGTGCCGCGGCCGGGCTGGGGGCGGAGATTGAGAGCCGGTCCTAGCTCCTCCCCCTTTCTTGTCTCCCAGTGTCATCTTGTCTCCCCGCGTCATCTTGTCTCCCCACGTCATCTTGTCTCCCAGTGTCCAGTAGGGCGGAGAGGGAGGCCCAGAGGCAGGATGAAAAACCACAGTCTGAGAGGTAAGGCTCTGCCAGGGCACACTAGAGTTAATTTGATCTCGTCTGCCCCGGAGGGAACTGACTCTGAAGAAGTCAGTTGAAGAAGCCTGAGGCGGGGGCTCATAGGAAGGAAATCAGAACCCCGGGTCCTTCTCAGATTCCGAGCCGGAATGAAGCCTTGGTGGGCCAGGGACTGGGCCTTACCCAGCAGGGGGCAGTGTGTGTGTAGTGGGGAGAACAACGCCTGCCTGGATGGGAGGGGGGTGAGGGGGCCTCCTGGTCCCTGGGAACAGCTGTTCAACTCTGCTAAGGCTGATTCCTCTTTGAGACCACCCCAGTCCTTTCTCCCCACAGGGCAGTTGTGAGGACTGTGGGGGTGGGGGGGTCCTTATGTGGAAGCCCTTTGTGAATGACAAAGCCCTGCCCGCCATGTCTTGCTATTACCCTCGGGGCCATGTGGCTCTGGACACAGATGTGCGGGTTCCAGGGTCTAATTCCCTATGGTCTTCCCTAAAGAAACATGCACTCATCCTCCTGTGAGATCCCAGGCCCCTCCTGCACCACCCTAACCCGGTCTCCTGATTTCCAGCTTGTAGACCGCGCCTGAGAGGCCTGGAGGAGCTTTGGAACCTGTTTTCACAACTGCAGAGGTGAGGCACTTCCCGTTCCCTTCATCCTTCCTGCCAGGGCTGGGATGTGACCCCAGGGCCGTAGGCAGCCTGGAGCTGACCTGGGATGGGGAGACCACAGGGACAGAGGATGGGAGTAAAACCCTGGGGCGAGGGGTAGCAGGAGAATTGGGCAGTCAGGATGTGGGGTGGTGGAGGGGCTCCCACTCTGCCCCCCGCTCCACCTGCTCCTGGCTGCAGCTTGTGCCTCCTGTCTCCTGCAGCCTCCTGGGGCCGCTCCTTGACAAAGGTGACTTTGGTCAGCTCTCCGGTCCAGACCCCCCAGGTGAGGTGGGCAAAAGAGCACCTGATGGAGCCTCCCGGTCCTCTCATGAGTCTATGGAAGATGCTGCTCCCATGCTTTCCCCGTTAGCTTCCCCGGATCCTCGAACCAAGCATCCTCAGGATCTGGCCTCCACCCCATCACCAGGCCCAATGACCACCTCAGTCTCCTCCCTAAGTGCCTCCCAAATTTTTTCACCAGAACTTCTTACCCCAAGAAAATGGCCCCTTCATCCTGAGCCACCTGCACCTTTCCCTCACCCACCACATCACTCTGTAGTGCCGTCTCCTCCGAAAGGCTTTCCCGCTCCTTCGCGCCACTCTGATTAATTCTCCATCTCACTGTGATAACCGATGGCACTTCCACTGGGCCCGTCTTGTCCCTCAAAGCTTTTGTCTCCGTGTTAAGTTGTATGTTGACGGCTCTGTCTCAGCTATCTCAGGCTCTATGGCGTGGTTCTAAAGTCAGTCAATGTTTCTTGCCTTCTGCCTGTGGTCGTGACTACCAGGAACCTGTGCGTCTTCAACTCAACTCTCCTTTTCATCTTTTTTCCTCTCCCCCACCCCACCCCCCACCTTTTCTCTCTTTCTTCTTCATTCCAGCTATATTGTTATTCATTTCTTCTCTCTCATCTCTCACCAGAGACCGTCAGATGGAAGCTGGTAGCCCGTTTTTACTCCAACTCTGATGCCCAGAATGTCGTGGTATACAAGTTTCATTTATTATATATTGTACCTATTATCATATATTTTTCGTGTATGGAAAATTATGAATAACGATGGTCATTTCCAAAACAAATGAGCCCAGAAAAGCACTTGAATTCTTTGGGGAAATTTGTGTAAATCATTGGATGCTGATGTCAGGATCTACTATGCGGTGGCAACCGGAACCCACAACCCCAAAACCCTTTCTGAATGGGCGAGAAACTCGAAAACAGCTGTCCCAGTCCTAATGAGCTCTCAGATCCTAGGATCTGCAGGAAAGTTTTATGAGTTATAGCCCAGCTTTTCTGGGGCCTCCCCTCTCTGCACACAGCGTACTCCCCTGGTGCTATGCTGGGTCACTGATATGGTTCTTACACTTACAGTCGTCTCCTGTTCTTGTTCAATGGAATCAATGTCCTGCCCAATTCCAAAGGGAAGACTACAATGTCCGCACTGCTTTTCCAGGCCAGCCCCTGTTCCCATGCTGGGGCCCGAGTAACCCTTTATTTCATCCACACCCCAAATTCCGGCCCATAAAACTAATGCTCAGGCGCGAGGCCCTCGAGGCCCCATCTTCAATCCCTCCTTTCCCAAGTCCTGTCTCTGCCTTTTCCATCGCCCGACTATAATAACTCCTGGAGTAGCCTTGCCCTGCGTCGCAGATGTCAACGTGCAAGCTCTTTGCCTACCTGAAACTCAGCACCCTGAATGGCCTTTTGTTGAGGGAAACAACAGAAGTGGTGGGTTGGCTGTTACCCTCTAGGGCCCAAAAATCTCAGGATGTGTTTAGTGTGTCTCCACCTCCTAACCTTCCCCAGGAAGCTTGACATCCATTCGCCTGAGAACTTTCCGAATCAGTCCTGAACTCCGGAGACAACTGGAGCAAACACTTCAAAAGTGGTTCATTCAACACCAGGGCAACCTGGAAGGATCCAAGAGTCTCTGGATCTGAATGCAGCTTCGGCGACGAATCGTCAGGGACAAGTCAGGCCAAGGGCAAACCCAGGCCCTGGCAGTCCTCCACGTCCACAGGCGAAAGCAGCAGGGAGGCAGCAGAAGGTGAAGTTCCAGTGGAGAGGGACCCGTGCCCCACGTCTGGGGCAAATTCTGCGCCAGACCCCGCAAATCTATCCAGGGCATGGAAAGCTTCCAAGGGAGAGTTCTGGGGGCAACCTCTGAGGAGTCGGAAAGGGACTTGAGGACAGCCCTTGAGGAGTGACTCGGAAGTGATTTATTAAGACGCACAGAGAGGAATCGTATAGAAAACATCCTGAAAGCCCACGTCGGCAGGAAGTTGGGCCAGATGAACGAGGGCTTGATCCCCCGTGAGTGTGCGTCGATCCTGGCTTGCTGTCAACCAGGCCTTTTCCTGTGTCTAACACCCCACGTGAAGACCAGCAAATCTAGCACCCCCAGAAAGTGGGAAAGCCTGTGGTGAACACGCCCAGGTGCTTCCCTTCCTCCAGCCGTGTACGCAGCAGGTGCTGGGAGCCCAGTATTGGAGTTATGGGCCAAACAACAGCGTGGGGTCTACCCCTCAGGGTCCTCAAACCCATTCAGTGCTTTAAACTGGAAAAGGTTTCGTCCTTGTCTCTTACACAGCTTGCCGGTCCCTCCTCAGCCACCTGTGAACCTGGGGCTGGCTCAAAAGTTGAGGTGGCCACGTTCCTTAGAGAGCCACCAATGGCAAGTCTGAGAGAGCAGGTGCTGACCAAAGCATCTGACATGCCAGAGAGTCTTCTGGCCTCTTCCCCTGCATGTAAGCAGTTCCAGAGGGCCCCGCCAGGGATCCCATCTTGGAATGATCATGGGCCCTTGAAGGCTCCTCCAGCTGCACAGGAGGGCAGGTGGCCATCTAAGCCCCTCACATACAGCCTCACAGGCAGCACCCAGCAGAGCAGGAGCTTAGGAGCCCAGTCTTCAAGGGCTGTAGAGACCAGGGAGGCAGTGCCACAACCCAGAGTCCCCTTGGGAACCCGTATGCTGGCAAACCTCCAAGCCACAAGTGATGATGTGCGTGGTTTCGAGGCTCCAGGGACCAGCAGAAGTTCTTTACTCCCTAAAATGTCTGTCTCCCAAGATCCAAGAGAGCTGTGTCTTATGGAGGAAGTTATTAGTGAATTTGAGCCTGGAATGGCCACGAAGTCAGAGACCCAGCCTCAAGTTTGTGCCGCTGTTGTGCTCCTTCCAGATGGGCAAGCGTCTGTTCTGCCCCTTGTTACAGAGAATTTGGCTCCTCAAGTGCCCCAGGGCCATCTCCAGAGCATGCCTGCTGGGAACATGCAGGCTTCCCAGGAGCTACGTGACCTCATGGCAGCCAGAAGGAGCAACCTGGGGCACAGGGAGCCCAAGAACCCAAACTGTCAAGTCTCATGCAAGAGACAAAGCCCGATGTTTCCCCCTCCTCACAAGAGTGAGAACTCTAGGAAGCCCAACTTAGAAAAACATGAAGAAAGGCTTGAAGGATTGAGGACTCCTCAACCTAGCCCGGTCAGGAAAACAGAGGACACCCGTCAGGATGAAGGCATCCAGCCATTGCCATCAAAGAAACAGCCTCCTTCAATAAGCCACTTTGGAGAAAACATCAAGCAATTTTTTCAGCAGGTTTTCTCAAAGAAAAAAAGCAAGCCAGCACCAGTCACTGCCGAGAGCCAAAAAACAGGAAAAAACAGATCCTGTGGGTACAGCAGCAGTGCTGAAGCTCAGGGGCTCATGACAGCAGTTGGACAGATGCTGGAGGAGAAGATGTCACTTTGCCACGCACGCCATGCCTCGAAGGTAAATCAGCACAAACAGGAGTTTCAAGCCCCAGTCTGTGGGTTTCCCTGCAACCACAGGCACCCCTTCTACTCAGAACACAGCAGAATGCTGAGCTATGCCGCCAGCAGTCAACAAGCCACTCTGAAGAGCCAGAGTTGTCCCAACAGAGAGAGGCAAATCAGAGACCAACAGCCCTTGAAAAGTGTCCGGTGCGACAATGAGCAATGGGGCCTGCGACATCCCCAACTCTTGCTCCCCAAGAAAGCTGTATCCCCAGTCAGTCCCCCTCAGCACTGGCCGAAGACACCTGGTGCCTCCAGCCACCATCACCACTGTCCCAGGCACTGTCTTCTTCGGGGAGGTATCTAATTTGGTCAGTCACAAATTCATTTTTAGCCTTCCTTAGAGAAAAACAAATCCCCAAGTAAAAATTCACTCTATGTAGAGAAAAAATATTTTCTCTCATGTTAGTACACGCAGAACATTTAATATTCCACAATATATATGGTTTTTTATTCATAAGAGGGTGATGGCTTTTATTTGCGACGTGCTTGGTGTGGGCTTGGTTTCTAGAAGCAACAGGAAAGGTGCTGACAGTGGTGCTGTAAGCCCACCTTCATCCTGAGTTCCTTCACTGAACCTCACGTTTCCGTAACACTGTCTTTACACAAACAAAAAATTCTAAAATCAAGATGAGAAAAACCTATGAAGAGCCCACTCTGAAATACGATTCAACCCGTCTTTCCACTACTTACTCTCTACCTCAAAGTTTATGCAGCTCTAGGGAGAAGGTTTGCAGAGATGTCACAGGGCTGAACATCGCCATGCAGGCTCCAGGAAGTGCCACAGCCCAGTAGCTTCATGTGTCACATAGTGGAAGTTTGGATGGGAGAGTGCTGGGCCCTGAGTTCAGAAGTGGGAGAAGTCTTGACCCTGGGTATCCTGGTGGAGAATAGATAATGCCTGCCCCTGGGAAGCCCCTTCTCTCCCTTACAAAGGCTGGGATGGAGATGGGCCCTCTTAGCTCAGCCAACATGCAAAGCACAGAGTCCCCATCCCACTGCCTCTCCCTTTCTTGCACTCTGGAGTGGTGGTGGGGACAGACCTTCCAGCTCTGTGCATGTGTAGGTGGGGGGTGGGGAGCCGGGGGGGGTAGCCTTCATGGAGGCTGCTGAGGTCCGTGAACTTCCCTGCCCCAAATGAGTGAATGACCCTGCTCCTGGGTCACCTGCCTTTGTCTGTCTCACCTAGGTGTCTCTCAGCTTCAAAGAAGTAGTTCTGGATGAATGGAACAGGGTATGCGTGTGTGTGCAGAGGCTTCTGATGGTGGGACTCTGTAGAGCTACAGGGGATGCAGAGAATTGAAAAGGGGGTGAAGTGTGTGTGAGGGGGCCATAAGTGGTGCCGTGACCCAGGAGATTCTGACATTCCAACCCCTTCGAGAGGCCTAAAGGGGCCTACTGGCTTATCCTGGCCCCACCCCAGGGTCCGTCCCTGCTCCAGCTCCCAGATCACAGACCTAGAAAAACCACATTTACCCCCAACACAGAGGGCCATATTAGCGAGAAGGCAAGGTGACAAAGTGAATAAGGAAGACGAATTTCTTAACGTCTTTGATAAGCTTGCACAAATAACCTACTGAACTTTTTTTTTTTTTGAGACAGAGTTTCACTCTTTTGCTCAGGCTGGAGTGAAGTAGCGTGATCTTGGCTCACTGCAACCTCCGGCCCCTGGGTTCAAGTGATTCTTCTGCCTCAGCCTCCCAAGTAGCTGAGATGATAGGCACCCACCACCACACCCAACTAATTTTTGTGTTTTTAGTAGAGACGGGGTTTCGCCATGTTGGCCAGGACGGTCTCGAACTCCTGACCTCAGGTGATCTAACAGCCTCGGCCTCCCAGAGTGCTAGGATTACAGATGTGAGCCACTGCGCCTGACCCACCTATTGAATTGTGTCAAGGATGTGTTGACAATAGGTGAAAAAGCAAAGACTAGAGAACTGCAGGCATAACTTGGAGTCCGGGGAACTTTAATTGCCAGTTGCATTATTATTTTACAAAGAACTCCTACAGAAAAAACTTTCTGGAGGTTTCCCCTATATACACAGCTACATTTTCTGCCGTGCTCGCACTGTTATCAAAGCATGCGGCATCCAACCACAGACCATCAAGGGGCTTGATAATTGCCTCCTCCATATACTTTCTGAGGTTGGTCAGGTTTATAACCATTCATGTAACACAATTAATCCTTGTAACTGGGCCCATGGCCTCGTGGCTTGTCACCTTTTCCAAGCAGGTGCTCTTCTTCTTGGTTGCTGAGGTTTGCTGCGGCACCTTCCCTCTTTGCAGCGGGCTGGCCTGCACCATGTTGTAACCAGAAGAGCCCACTTCCCCGGGGACACGCCTTCTGTGCTCTCCACAGTCATGTCATGCTGCTGCTGTGCAAATGATGCCAACTATAAATCCCAGAAAGCGGTAAAATAATGCTGTGCCAGGCACAGTCGGTGAGGATTTAGAGACTGCTAACGTCTTTCCTAAGAAACATGGGTGACATCGGCCGGGCGCGGTGGCTGCTCACGCCTGTAATCCCAGCACTTTGGGAGGCCGAGGCGAGCGGATCAGGAGGTCAGGAGATCCAGACCATCCTGGCTAACACGATGAAACCCTATCTCTACTAAAAATACAAAAAAATTAGCTGGGCGTGGTGGCGGGCGCCTGTAGTCCCAGCTACTCCGGAGGCTGAGGCAGGAGAATGGCGTGAACCTGGGAGATGGAGTTTGCAGTGAGCTGAGATTGCACCACTGCACTCCAGCCTGGGCGACAGAGCAAGAAAAAAAAAAAAAAGTGATGGGTGGCATCACTCCGGTTCTAATCATTTTTGTGCTTCAGCTGCCCCCCTGGATCAGTGCTTCTGGTGAAATGCAGTCCGTTTTAGGAGGGCCTCACCCTCTTTCGCTGTAATGATGTTTGCAGTTCTTTCTTTTCTATGCCGAAAATCCAGAATTACCACCCCGTTCACAATCTCAACCATGTTTCTCCAGTGACCACTTCAATTCACACAGCCATCCCTCAGTTGAAATATTGCCTTTGAACATCATGAGCAAGACCACTGCTCTTTGAATTTCTGCCAGTTTCACACCAGTTGCAGATTATATACATACTTCACGTCAATAAGCGTATTTTGTAGAGTGTGGTTTCTGGAGTCAGATAAACTCTCCACCTACTAGGTCTGTTACTTGGGCAAGTCATTTCTTGCCTAGATTTACCAGTTCGTTAGCATTACATTACTTTACTCCAAAATATTTTATTCTGTGAATTACATTGCTTTTCCTGTTCTTTAAAAATTGTAAATCTAGGGATTGAGGCTTGGTTGTTTTTTTTTAAATATGAGTACTTATCTAAACAAGTATTTGAAAATTTTTCTTTTTTCTGTACATATATTTGAAATCTGGCCAGGCACGGTGGCTTATGCCTGTAATGCCAGCACTTTGGGAGGCCAAGGTGGGTGGATCACCTGAGGTCAGGAGTTTGAGACCAGCCTGGCCAATATGTTAAAACCCTGTCTCTACTACAAACACAAAAAAATTAGCTGGGCGTGATGGCAGGCGCCTGTGATCCCAGCAACTTGGGAGGCTGAGACAGGAGAATCACTTGCACCCAGGAGGCAGAGGTTGCAGTGAGCTGAGATTGTGCCACTGCACTCCAGCCTGGGCAAGAGAGTGCGACCCCATCTAAAAAAATAAGAAAAGAAAGAGAAAGAAAGAAAGAAATCTGTTAACAGCCTTGCTGTGAAGACATTTTTGTCTGTTTCCTTTACTTTGTATACTTATTTAATATTAAAACCTCTATTATTGCTCAGCAAAGAGAATTGTTTCCTTGGAGAAAAAAACATCCTTAAGAACTTACTAGTTTAAAGCTGAGCATCTTAGATTTGAAGGTTGCCTTACCTTTTTAAAGATTTTTTTTTTATGAGTTGGTAGAAAGTCCTAAAATCTTAGGAACAGAAACAATTGAGAATTAAAAGTCAAGTCATTGTAATGGAGCCATCTGACAGTTTGTGTGTTCTGCTAAGCCAGTGGTGAGTGGGAACAGTTTCTATGTGGGAACAGAATCAGGGTCCCGATTACCCCAAAAAGGCTCTTTCTTGTTTGGTGTGAAGCCAAAATATGAAACCAAGAGTGAGTATCAAACAGTATGGGCAATTTTCAATGGCCATGGAATTGGAGAAGTGGGAGCATAGCCTGCAAATCAACTTCTCAGAGCCTGAGAACTGAGGATTCTTAATGAAGGGGCTAGGTATTAAGAGGAAAGGGAGGAATATTCATAGTTTTTCTTGGGAAGGGAGGTAGGTTTTTTTGGAATCAAAGAGCCACCTCTTTTCTGTCTGTTTTTGGTCTCTTCTGGCCATTGTCATGGTGATTTTCAATTGTAAAGGTGCCAGTAGGAGCGTCATTTAACATGGAAGTTGGATTATAATGAAGCTAGAGGTTTTTCAGAAGCCAAGCTGCCACTGCAGATTTTGCCAGCTTCAGCCAGTTTAGTACTAAGAAGGAACTTCTGACCCCAGACATCCTGTTTTCTAAAACTAAGCAGAGTTGAAGCTGAATGGGAATTTAGCTCTGTCGCATAGGCATTGGTTGGGCAACAAAAGCAGGGTAGGGCTCCAGCTAAGCCACGTAGGCACTACAATGGGTAACAGAAAGGATGGTTTCCAGGCACTTCAGAGAAAGCAAGGACAGCTACCACCAGAACTCAGAGTAGCCAACTGGGCTGCTCACAGGAGATGCCTGAACTGAAAGGTGATCAGATCCCACGGGAGACCCCGAGAAGACGTGGAGAGAGTTCAGAGGCTGTCCCGGAGGAGACCTGGAGAGAGCTCAGGGGCTGTCCCAGAGGAGACGTGGCGAGAGCTCAGAGGCTGTCCTGGAGGAGACGTGGAGAGAGTTCAGAGGCTGTCGTTACTGCTGCGCTTGACTGTTTTTCTTTGGATAATTATTGCAATCAATTTTAGTGATTCAGGTGTTAAATCACAGTCAAGCACCTATTTACCTAGTGGTGAGTTCCTTGGTGTTGTGAGTTCAATGTCATTTGTGGGGACAGTGGTCCAGGGAGGTTTTGGGAGGATGAACTCTTCTGAGTGACTTTGTAACCATAAAAAGTCATCCAAAAAAAGATGCTAGAAAAGCGAATATCCTACTAACTTCCTAGTCAGAAAAATGTCGAACACCATATTTATTTAGGGGCAAAATTATGTATTCAGAATTTTTCACAAAAAAACAGTGATGGGAGAAAATTATGCATCCGGGCCCCGCAAGTAAGACTTTCCCTTCACAAATGTGCTGTGGGATCCCAGACCTTGGGAGTCCTACTGATTAGGGCCCACCCATATAACCTAATGTTACCTCAGTTACCTCTTTATAGGTCCTATCTCCAAATACAGCTCCATTCTGAGGTAGTAGAGGTGAGCACTTCAACATACATTTGAGGCAACACAATTCTGTCCATGACAGTCGTCCACCTTAGTTTTATCGTGAACAGAATCTGTGAAAAAGACTTGACTTGGGGCCAGGAGTGGTGGCTCACTCCTGTTATCCCAACACTTTAGGAGGCCAAGGCAGGTGCATAACCCAAGGTCAGGAGTTCAAGACTAGCCTGGCCAATATAATGAAACCCCATCTCTACTAAAAATACAAACATTTTATTTTGAATTTATTTGTATTTACTAAAAATACAAAAAGAATTAGCTGGGTGTGGTGGCAGGTGCCTGTAATCCCAGCTACTCAGGTGGCTGAGACGGGAGAATTGCTTGAACCCGGGAGGCAAAGGTTGCAGTGAGCCAAGACTGTGCCACTGCACTCAAGCAGTGGACAACAAGAGCAAAACTCCCCATCTAAAAGAAAAAAAAAAAAAGACTTGACTGAAGGCAGTGACCTAAGAATGAAGGAAGCAATGACAGCTGGCGACTGTTCCACAAGAAGGTGCAAAGCCCCTGCAGGCCTGGGAGGGTGCAGAGCCTGCACCTCAGATTTGACTCATCTCATAGAATCATGGAATTTAAGCAAACCTCTTCCAGTATGAGGGAATCCTGAATAGAAACTCTAATATCTTAATCCCCAGTGTACCAAACTTTTACTATATTGTTCTCATGATGACAAATGGCTCATCAGAAAATGGATTAAAAGTAGAATTATTGTGAAAGCAGACTGGCTTATTTAAGACAATCTGAAAACTGTAATCTAAAAAGTAAACATCCTCATATATATATATATTTTTTTATGTATTCATTCTCTTTGCTTTGAAGCTTTCACTGTATGACCTTTGTCCATTTTATCTGTCACCATATTTTAGTGGTGCCATGCAGTGACTTTTGTAGAGCAATATCTCTCAAAGTGTGCAATGACAAATACTTATTGTCAAAAGAAAAGATTCTGTAGTCAAAGAAGTTTGGAAAACTTTAATTTTTTGATTAAGCAAAGCAAGAAGTCTGAGTTTCATTTATTGGTTTACTATGAAAAGCGTTAGAGGCTTTATGATGTGCAAGAAGGACGTGTGTCATAATATTTCTCAAACCTCTTTGACTTTCAATACTTGCTTTTTTGTTTTTTTTTTTCTTCTTTTGTGGAGAAATTTCAAAAACTTTGGAAAATACTTTTTAAGTG